CCTCAGATAAGGCGGCATCACAAATAGCTGTAAATTTCAAGTTATTTTCCCCTAGCGAATTCGACACTGCGGTCTTCATCGTCTCCCAACTGGCAAAGACGTCAACAGCCTCATAGCTTTCACCTCCTCGTCAATCTTGACACCCATGCCTTCTAACTTGTTCAAGATATCGGTGAGTTCATTAATGTGGGAATTCACCGAGGTTCCCTCATCCATGTGGATATTAAAATACTTCATCCATAGAAGTATCTTTGTATTGGCAGAAAGTTTTTCATACCTATCTTGCAAGGCCTTCAACAAATCTTTCGCTGTAGTCTCTTTCGCCACCAGACTACAAACATTCATTGATAATGTCATTCTGATGTTGGCAACAGCCTGCTCATCCATCTCATTCCAATCCTTGTCCGGCATTCGTGCTGGTCTTTCCCCTAAAGTCTTGTGTATCTTCTTGCATGTAAGAAGATCCTTTACCTGCATCTTCCAAAAACTGAAATTCTCCCCATTGAACTTCAGGACCCCATCGTAATAATGGTGTGCTTGATATCTGTCACCCATGATGCTGCAACCTTACAGCTCTGATACCACTTGTTGGGAAATTGAAGACCCTGAGTAATTTCTCCTTCCACAAAAATATTCAAACACAACCAAAATATATGAAAATAGGAAGAAAACTGTAAAAACACAAGAATAACGACACAACAAATTATACTGGTTCACCACTAGGGGCTACGTCCAGTCTTCCACTCAGATGTGGGTAATTCACTAATAATTGTTTAAGGATTAGAATTCCAAAAATATCCCCTAGAGGTCTCAACAAAAACCCTCTAGCTTCTAAGTATTATAACACACTATACTTATGTACAGGAATGAAAAACACTCACTAAACCCACTGGATACAGAATTCTTTTCAACACTGCCCACAACCACTCAAGTCCCTTTTATTTGGATTTTGTACAAATAAAACCTTAACATAAGGGCTCTATTTATAAGAAGCCAAATATCCTAATTCTTATAGGAAAACAATATTGTAATCCTTATAAGACGACAATATCCTACCCCCGGTAGGAATTGATAATAGTGTTGAAAAATCTTTTTCTTCATAGGATATGGGTTTCCTGTTTTGGCTCCATAATCCCAACAAAGAGATGTCATTTCTAGTTTATCGATTTCTATTTATGTAATATATGGAAAGTTTAGAAATCATTATATAGTAATCTAGAAATTGCAAGTGCTTCAACCCTTTAGGATTTTCTTTTTTGGTCAAAAAATAGGCATTTTGCAAGTGAAAAGAACAAAATGGATCTTGTTCTATCCTTGATAAGAGATTTCTCTATGAACAATACGAATTGGAGTTTGAAGAAGGGGAAGGAAACGGAGTCGAGAAGAATTTATTCAATCGTATAGTTTGGGCTTTTAGAATACGGCGTCCTTGGGGCTTTCTATTTGATTGTATCGAAAGTTCCAATGAATTGGGATTTCTCTATTGCGCTAGATGATTTCTAGGCTATGATGAAGAGGATCAGATCAAGGCACAACAAAGATATACCAAAAATAACAGGAAACCAAACCAGAAAAACAACACACAAAACCAAAACAAACAAACAAAACACAAATAAAAGAATTAAAGCAACAAAGCTAGAAATGATATTCCCCTTTAAAAAAATGCACCAATAAGTCAAGTTATTTTCCACTTACATTTCTTTAATGAACATATTTATTGTTATGGTATAATAAACCCCAAGTACCACCAAAAAAAATAATAATAATAACAGCACAGTATTAAATTCATTTATCTAATCTTCAACCATAAACTTAATATTATTTTTTGTTTTAGTTGTCTAACAAATAATGACATTAAAGACAAAATCATATGCTTAGGCTCTATTTTTTGTGGTTAAAAAAAAATCTATTTGCAATGAATTTTGTTGTTTCTTTTCCAAAATTTTGAACGACTTATCCTACTTGATTTGAAATAGAATTTTCATGTGTAAGATTGGCTTGCTCCACTTTTTTCAAGATTTGGTGCACTCCCCTTTACTTCATGGGACCTTTTAGGGGAAAAGCCTTCCATTCCCGTTAAATGACCCAGCCTTCTTGGGCTCTTCCACCGTCCGGGCTCTCTTTCCCTCTCGATAACGCAAGAGATAACTTATGACTTCACGGATGGAGAGGGATTCAAACCCCCTCGTTTAAGCTACTATTAATTCTAGTTAATCCATAATGCAGACAACCTTAATTCCCTGAAAGAGTAGGAGGTTCAAGTCCCGACACATGGGGATTAATTCAGCAGCAAGTTATACTAAAGTGGTCGAATTCGGTAGAATTTCACACAATTTTAAGTTAAAATTACCAATTTAAATTTAACCACTTTTTATGCGATCAATTTAACCTTGTTATATCTTAGTTTCCTATTAATAAATAAAAAAAAATTATATTCATTTCAAATCCTTCTGATTCTAAACAAAATCATTTATGGTAAGTGGTGGATTAGAATTTTGGGGGAGGCTTCATTTAAAATTGAGTAGAAATAATTATGTATAAATTTTGTATTTATAACAATTATAGTTTTTTATACCATTAATTTTTTAAAAATTAATTTATTAAAAACCTAAAAATATTTTTTTATTAATTTTTATTTATATTTGATATAAAAAATAAAAAAATTATATTTATTATATATTGATTATTAGATAATTAATCTTTAAATTGTCACTTCTCTCGACTGCAGAATTAGAATAGTTGAATATTGAAATTTTGATGATATATAGATAATTTTTTTGGCGATGATGTATAGATAATTAAAAAATATACGATACAATAATTTATTTATATAAAAGATATTACCTTGACAACATATAAATTCAAAATATAACTAAGCCTTTAAATTACCAAAAATAATTAGATTAGAGAGACAATATGTATAAATGGTAAAAAAATTAAGGTTAAAAAGCGGTAGGGTGGAGGCATGGGAAAGGAAATGCCATCATGCCAGAATAAAATTTTGAATCCTTGATACCTATTATTATATATATTATAAACTTGAGTAAACCCTACCTAAATCCGCCGGCGGTTTATAGTATTTCAAAGTCATGGAAATTAAAATCATTTATGGAACTTTTTTTTTAATTCCAAATATAACTTTATTTTATGGTAATTTTACTTCAATTAACTCAACCACTCGATACCAACATGAGTATAACTCGGTGATAATTGACATGTTTTCCTTCCATCGATGAGTATTTATCTTAGTTTGGAATACCTATCTTACAACTTTTTCATTTAGTGTTGATCTAAATAAAGTATGAACATAACTCGAAAAAGAAAGAAGAAAGAAAAAACTAGTTCACCAGAGGAGAATAAGAGAAAATGAAGAAAAAGAAAAAAAAACTGAGAGGAAAGAAAAAAGAGAAGTCAATTTCACACAATTGAATCATAACAAAATTAATACAAAGTTAATATAATTTGTCAAGTTAGAAAAACACAACAAAATTAATATTTCTTTTCAAGTACAACAAGTGGAGTGGGAGACTCGAACTCATAAATTCTTAGTCGAAGATAGATGTCGATTATTGTTGAACTATGTTCATCTTGGCCAACAAAATTAATATGAAGTTAATATAATTGGTCAAGTCAAAAAATTTAATCAGTTATGTCATTCTTTCACTGATAGATAAATAAGTTATGCGACTAAATACTTATCTCAAATTTTATCAATAAAAATTTGTATTTTTGCTCGAATTTTTCTATAATAATTAATATAATGTGATTTTATTATTATTTTTTTTCGTTTCGAGAGAAGCTTCATCTCACCCGAACAGGTCTTTCTTTACTCCTCAAATTTTAAATTAAATATTCCGTAATATTTTTTATATATATATATCTTTTAGTACTCATAATATTTTATAATTATCTCTTAAAGAAAATAGGTTTTTTTTTTTTTTAATTCTACCTTCATAACTTGACAAGAGCCATCAGCGGAATCTTCAAGCAAGATGCAACCGACATCTATTTTTGGATGGTGCCTCATTTTGCTCCACAATTTTACAAGAATTTTCTCTTTTTGGTTGGATTAATTTTTTTTTGTAAAATTCTAATTTTTTTCTTTCAAGGTAAAAAACATATTTACTCATTTAAATAACGATAAGGATTTAGTTCTAAATGATTTAGTTCCTGCCTTTAAATATTTTATTAGGACTTAACAAAAATCTAATTTTTAGAAATTAAAGAACTGTCAATGCATAATTCTAGGTCGGTTCAAAGCCCGAACCTATTAGGGCTAGTTGGATGGTTTTTCTTCTTTTTTCATATATTTGTACTGTTCCAATCTATTTTGTCTTCTAGGATTTGGTCTGATTTTGTTTTTCTTTCTCATTAATTCTCTTGCTCTAAGAAGGGTTTCACCTTGAAATGAAAATTTGAATTTCGTTTGCATTTTTTATTTCAACATTTTATTTTATCTATTTTTTTTCCCCTCTTACTTATAAGAGCTCCAAAATTTTTGATAGAGTTGAAGAGTTGTATTGTTCCTCTTTTGTTTACTTTCCAAAGAAAAAAAGTATGCTAGAGCCTTGAATTTTACAACTAATGAACCAAAAAGGTTTTGGAGGAAAGTCGAGTCTGAAGCCAACCTCATAAAAAACTGAGAATGACACGAAAAATCTGACAAGTGAACAAATGGAGTAGGATACTGTACACTATCAAAGAAGTTTAATTAAAGTTTGGATCCCAAAGTTTGAAGCCAATGTTGGAGGCGAAGCACATACTCCACCAAACATTTGAGGGAATCTTTGTGTCGATAATTTACTCTAATTTGAGAAAGACGGTTCTTCATCCTCTTCTAAAGCAAAAGAGACAACTTCTCTCTAGAGAGAGAAAGAAGAGAGAGATAATATATATATATATATATATATTTTTTTTTTGAAGAATGAGGAATTTTTTTTATTAGGTAAAACTTAAAAGCAATAGAAGAAGAATTGTTTGGATTAAAGGTTTGCTTTGGACCATTACTTGAAGAAGTGCTTCAAATTTACCCACACACCACTTTCTCTCTCTCCTCTCTCTCTCTTAAAACAATCCTCACGGCGGAGAGAAACTCAACAAATTTCTTGAAATCTCCATAAATCGTGGTGGGTCGAGGCGTCTGAAAAAAAATCGAAAATTTTGGAGAGGGATGGATAGCTTGCTTTGTGACGAATTGATTCAAGAAATTTTCCAGAAGCTGCCGGCGCCGTCGTCCTCCGCCGTGTCTCTGGTGTCGAAGCGGTGGCTCCGCCTTTACCGGACCTCGAAAACCGCCCTCTCTCTCCGCCTCTCCGATCACGATTCCTCTGTTTCATCTCTCTCTTCTCTCCTCTCCCACTACCCCTTTCTCTCCTCCCTTTCGATTCTCTCCGCCGACTCCACCGCCGCCACCGCCGCTACTCTCTCCGCCCAAATCCTCTCCGAAATCCGCAATTTCTGTACGAAGCTCCGGTCTCTGAGGTTGCTCGCCGGCCCTGTTGCTCGCTCATCACTTGTTTCTCTCTCATCGGCTTGTAATCGTCTCAATTCTCTCTCTATCAGCATCTCCCGGCCGTTGAATTTCCGGTGGGTGGTTAATTTTCCGGCTCTGAGATCACTTTCGATCTCTGTGAGCTCCGGCGAGGGTTTTGAAACAGGGTTAAATTACGGCGATTGGGAGTGGGAAACGGAGGAATTGGGGCTTCAAAGCCTCTGTTTGTCCGGCCTCCGCGCCGGCGATTGGGGCGCCGGGTGGCTGTGGCGGAGCTGCAAGAATCTCCGGCAATTACGGCTTCGGGGCTGCGAAACCGTCGGCGACGGCGGATCCTTCTCGTCGTTCGTCGAGTGCTTGCCGGACCTCCGAGAAGTGGAGCTACGAACTTGCCGGAGCATAGCCGACGGCGTTCTGCTGAAACTGGTGGAGAATTGCCGGAATTTGACCTCCCTTCTTGTCTACGACGGCGGCAGTCGAGAAGGTATGTTAAATTACTACTCAGTTATATTTTAATTTTGTTAGGAAAAATGATGGTACAGATTAGTGATTTTTTTTTTTTTAATCCGTGAATCAACTAGTGATGACTTATCTACGTGATTATTCTTTATTCTTTTCTAAATAAAAAGAAAAATTGTGGCTCACGCATTAATCTTGTCTCACCACTGTTATTTAACCATYAAGAGATAAATGTAAAAATAAAGATTTATTTTTTAATAATGAGTTGTGAGAAATAGATATTAAAAATATAATAATAATAAATGGTCAAATTTTTTATGGTGAATAAAAGATTTAGTTGGTCAAATAGCTAACTATTTCAAAAAATATATATATTTTTCTCTTTTTTATTTATTAAAACTTTAAATATGGTCGTTAAAATATGAACGAAGTATTATTCTTAATTAATTATTTTACTTCTTATTCTATTTTGATTATCTCATTGTATTTTGGATTTTTTTTTCTAATTAGTGTAGTTTCACCCATCTAAACATAATTAAATTTGTATTTAATTGAACATTGACATGGTTGCTGAACTAAAAAATATTTATTTAGGTCAATAATTTTTCAATTTGAAATTACGATAAATTTAAGTTTGAAAAATATACTAAGTTAGCACCTATCTCCACCAATAAAATTTGACAACGCTCTTTTGGTGCTTTGAAAAATAAAAAAATATTTCTTTAATTTTTATTCGTATTCTTCGCAAGGTTTGCTCCAATTTCTAAGCCACCATCGGAGCAATCTGCAAACTCTCGACCTCCGTCTTCCCCTTGACCTCGACAACGAGCATCTTGTCGCCATTGCCACGAACCTCCGCACAAGTCTCTCATCTCTTCGGCTACAAAGTTGCTGCCTTGTTACAGGCGATGGCTTGAAAGCCATCAGCGCTACCTTTGGCTCTCGCCTCGAGGAATTAGCACTAATAAATTGCGATGTTGTCGAGAGAGAATCCGGGTTGTTGGCCACCATGGGACAAAGCTTGAAGAAATTGAAGAGACTCGACTTGTCTTACAACGAGATGTTGCTTGACAAGGACTTCATCTCCATGATCGTCTCTTGCAACTCTCTTACAGACCTCAACCTCCGAGGCTGCAAATGCCTCACTGAAGCTGCTATTGTTGCAGTGTTGAAGAGTTGTAAGAATTTGGACACCATTGATATTGTTCATTGTTCTGGAATCCAGGCCAAGACAGTAGAGCTCTCTATCTTAAATTTACCCAAATTGAGACTGCTCAAAGTTGAAGAAGATAAGGTTTATGATGTCGTAAGGACGTCCGCATCACGCCGCTTTATCGACATTGTTTTTTGACATGGTGAGTAATCAAAACTTATTCAACATGACCACTCCTCCTAATCATTGGATGCATGATCGTCAAGTCACATCGTCGTCATTATAGTTGCCGTTTTTAATTTACTCTCATATACATCTACCTTGCATATAAATAATTCATAAATTATACTTCCTGTTTCTTATTTATGTGTATGATTTGTGGTATTTGTTGGATTAGAAGGTCCCTTCTGCTCAGAAAAACAAAGAAGTTAATGAGTTGGAGTTGGAGGGTGAAATAAAGTTTAAATTGATTTTTCTAGTCTCTCTATCTTTATTTTGCCAGTTATCTTGCTCTCCTCAACCATATTACACTCAAATTCAAAAAAATGTAGAAAGATTTTTTTAAAATAAAGTTTAAAAATCATCAAGTTAGTTTGCTCTCTTCAACAATCATCCAATTTATGGACTAAATTTATAGTTCTATATATTTTGTTTTCAATTAATCATAGCTCARTTGTTTAAATTAGTAGTAATTTTTTGCCAGCTCAATTGTTAAAGTATATATTTTCGAGTCTCAACTAAAAGGTCGTAAATCTCACATGTTGTACTAAAAAAATTTTAAAAAAATTATGAGTAACTTTTTTTAAGAAATTAAATAAATTAGAGGTTTGAATTCTCTATTTTTTTTTCTTTTTCGAAGTAGGCAAATTGGTTATTTAACTCAATATAAATGTGTGAATGAGGTAGGCGAGCTGATTTTGTAGGGTTTGATCTGAAAATGATTCTAGTGGTTCATGAGGTTTTTCATTTTTAAAATATGAACAACTTATTTTTGTTTTTTTAATTGAGGAAAAAAAAAATCAAACCATCTTTGACAATGTCTTTCTTTTCTATTTTCTATAAGAAACCCAACTCTTTTTTATTTAATAATAATTCTTATCAACAATAACTATTAAATTATAATTTTATTTTAAATTATAAAAATCATACTCTTTTTAATTTTGTCATTTATTAATATTTATAAAATATTATGGAAAAAAAGAAACTTTAGAAGAAAAATGTTGGAGAGATGTTGTAAAGAGAAATATGAATAATTAGAGAGACGTTAGAGTCTTACAGATAGGGAGAGATAAATAAGTGAGAGAAATAGATACGTTAAAATTGTCTTCTTGTTTTTATTTTTATTTTTGTTTTGTTGTTTTTTGTAATTAATAAAGTTGATTGATTTAACTAATTTGGAATGCGTGTAAAATAATATCATTATTCGACAAGTTGTAAAAGATACAATGAAATCATATCTTGTTTGATTATTAAATTAAATGCCAATAAAATACAAATGAAGTGCTGAAATGTTTTTTTAAGCATATTTAATAATTTTATGGAAATACCTTTGTTCAATATAATGGTCTTAGGGCCAAAACGAGCATAGCTCAGCGGTAATTGGCATATATCTTCAACTAAGAGGTTGTGAGTTCGAATTCCCTCCCCAACAAATTGTACTAAAAAAATATAATGGTCTTATGCTAAATAGTTTTCTACTCGATAGATAATTTCATTTATAACAAAAACAGAAAAAAAAAACTAGTTATAAAATTAAAATCGTTTGTTCAACATATAATTTATATTCAAAAACAGACAGTTGAAATTGTATTTGTTTTTTTTAACAGCTTCATTTAAATATATATATCACTTTTAAAAGTTTTAGGGAGTAGTATATTTTTGAAACATATTAAAAAAAGATATATATATATTATTATTATTATTTTAGGTTGTGAAAGCATATCCATTGGATTGAAAGAGACATGACAAATCTATGGTCCTTCTTTTTCCTTTTTTTATTTCTTTATTTTTTTTGTCATTTTTCTCTCCATTTGAGGCAGTGATTTGTTGTACTGTGCATTATCAATAAGTTGATAATATAATTTCAGTGGTCAAAAATGAAAAAGAATTTTCAGTCTCCATCTCAATTTAAAGTTTCAGGCTTTTTGTTTATCATCTTAAACTTGAGGCCTGAAGTTTTTGGACCCATTCCGTAATGTTAGTTTTTAATTTTAGGAAAATTGTGAGTAGTGGCGTATCGTAATTAAAAATGGCCAAAGGTTTTGTACGATGGCCGAATTTGAATTCTCAACGTCAAATCTATGTCATTCAAACTATTTTAAAATATTATTAATTTGTCTCCAACATAATCTAATTAAAATATATAACAAACCTAATCAATTCGTTAATAAATTCCATAGCAAGCACCATCTTAGGTTTTGTAAATATTCTTACACGACTTTCATCAATTTCCATTTTGGTTATATTGTTTGAGAATTTAAATCAAGTTAACGCGGGAACACTATGCATTCTTCTCGGTTCTTTCTTCCATAACTCGAGCTCGGAGAAGGGAGAGAGATAAGAGGGCCCTATGGAGAATGTGGTCAAAATCCATAATAGAGCCGACCACAACGACCAAATTGATTATCTTCATGCGTAAGGATACTAGATTATCTAGTATAAAAGATCTAAAAATTAAGGGATAACTAGAGGAGTGACTATATTAAATAGTGCAACTTCAAAAATGGCCAAAACAATCAAATATCAGGCCGTTAGAGTTCAACGCTATAACTAAATGTGGACAAATATACCCTCTAATCCAAAATAGATAAAATTATCCTACAATTATCCTCAAGTTTTGTGGCCGAAATACTCTTGGAAGAAATCTTTGCTACACCTTAATCCTACACAATCAAATATTGAATCAGAATTTCAAAAATAAAATATAGATTTAGAAATTTCAAACAAGATTTAGAAATCAATGAAAACTTTAAAATCAAGCAAGATTAGGATGAGAAGAATATGAAAAATTGTCTAACAAAACGTAAAATCAATGCAGAATAGTAAAAAAATGAGTAAAAAAAAAGAATTGAAAAATCAAGTGTTGTTTTTAAAATTATGGAGGGGTAGCTACATTGAGTGACATGATAAATTAATACAGTGAGAATCTCAATTATGGAGGTTGGTAGCTAATCAAAACGTCTTCTTCTTCCCTAATTTCACCATCAACCTCGTAGGCTGTGTACGTCCTTACATACATATATAGGGTAAATACACGTATAGACAGGCTAAAGGTAGAGTAAGTAGAGACACATACGATACCTGGATTTAAAGACAAGATGAGAGCGAACGACTGTTCAGGTGGCCCCCTTAATGAGTTTAGAGCCTTTTGTCTTCCTCTCCATACCTTGTCATAACTAATATTGATTCCATGCTTCTTTCGAACATAATCAATCATGTCACATGGACTACAATGTCTTCCATTGTTGATGTTTAACATTGTGTCTTCGCACATTTATTTATCATTGTTGTTGTTGCTTGCATATGGTTGTTACAAATAGAAAGTGTGCTACGATACGAGTTTTCTAACAATCCATAATTTACCTCAGGGAGAAGATGAGGTAAACTACATTCTGAGTGGCATTCGCACCTCCACTACCCTCGTAGATGGTGGTATATATGGGTCAATATCACAACTATGCAGCAGTGACTGCACATGACATCTGACAAAAGAGATATGGCCCACACCACATTCATCTGATAGTCTCATAATAATTGACTTGCTCGCACCATTTCTAAACAGTGAAAGACTTGTAATTTTCTTTCTTTCTGAAAAATAAAGATCTCTAGAGATGCATGCAATGAGTTGTTGTAGGATGGAATCGAAACGTGTCCAGTACTAAACCCTTGATAGTTATCTTGCTCCTCCCAACTTCTATCATGTAAAACCGTGACAACAAGTTTTATTTCAAGACAGCTCATGATGTTCATATTAATCTATTATGCACCTCCTCATCTAGCATAAGTATTTAACAATTATTTTATTTTTCTTTTCATTTTTAAAAATATTCTCAAAATTGTATTGGAAAAATAAAAACATGTTTTTGTGTCTTGTTACCATGTCCTATTTGTTCCAACATAAATAAAATTTTGTTTTATTATTATGGTATGTGCATGTTATTTGATAAGAAAAAACTGACAAAGCTTGCGAACCTCGACTCAGTAAGGGATGACCTGGAGGATGAGCAAGAAGTGTGTTGAGTAGGGGACCTGCAAAACAGAAGACACTCTGATGCCCAAGTCAGTAAATGACCGAGCTATATTCGAGAGAGAATATAGTATTCACGTAGCTGGGATAAAGGCTGGTGGTCTCTATTTATAGGCGAAGCTTCCGACAGGGACTTCAACAGAGCTCTAACGGCTTTTTTAAGGTTTCTGGAAGCGACGGTGTGCTATCGTGAAATATGTCCGCAACCAAACYCTGACGGAGTAGCAATAAGTCGGCTCGACCAGTAAACTGAAGAACAAACAAAGGAGAGATAAGGTCGGCTCGGCCGCCAACATGTCCAACTCAAATTCGACATGGTATCAAGGTGATGAATCTTTGCATTACCGATTCAATGCCACATGTTATCCCTATCGTATTAGGACTCACCACTTGTCATGTGAGAATTCACCTCCAACAAAAATGTTGGAGAAAACAAGAAACTTGACCAAATGGACTTTTTTTTCTCATTTCTCTTCGTTGTTTATCATTTACTCTTTTTAATTAAAAAAAATGTATTCGATAATTCCTCGTCTTATGAAAGTAAATTTTTATATAAAAACAATTTTTGAAATTAAATATTCAAACCTTTTTATGTTATATTGGATTTTTAATATTTATTATGTATTTTATAAGTAAAAATGAGAAAATAATGTTTTATTGTTTTTGGAAAAAACTGGAAATGATAACGAGAAATTGAAAACTTGATTTTGTCGTTTCCAAAATTTCATAAACGTTTATTAAAAAAGAGAAATGTTAAACTGAATATCTACGAAAAACTTATGTTTCAAAAAATTGGAAACGATAAACAATAAATAAGAAACACAAATACTAAAAAAAATAATTAAAAAAAATAGAAAAAAATAAACATAAGCAATACCAAACATGCCCTAAATAAATTGTTTTTTTAAATCAAAGTCGGGTTGATTTGCCTTTCAAGCTAATGAAAACAAGTAGAAAGGAAAATACTTTCCTTTCCAATCTCTTTCATATTATTTAGATCATACTACAAGTCTCTTAACTCTCAAAGTTGTGTCTAATACAAATGATGAGACGAGCTAGATAACAATACTTCTGATTGGTCCTGGCACCAATTTAGAAACACGGATGCCATTGGTGCAAATTTTGCTAACTGTCATATACGTAGTGTTGAAATGATAGAAAAACACTTCCCGAAACTCCCCTCTAAAGGGTATAGTGTATTCATTATAAGAGTACATGACAGTATCACATAATTCCTACTAAATTTGAGGACACTCGTTCGTTCTGACTAAGTGATATTGTTTAAAAAAAATTATATGATATTGACAATATCACATAATTCCTATATACTTACACATTGCAATTGCAAGTGTAAATCCAAACCTTCAAACAATATCACATCATTCTTACTAATCTTGTAGATTTCTTGCATAAATACCTATAAACAATCTTTTTATTTTCATTCTAGTGATGAGATGGCAGACACTACCACACGTTCTAACTTTTAAGTGTGAGACTTTTTTTTTTCCTTTTTTATAGGTTGAAGATTTGAATTCCCACTTGTAATTACAAGTGTATATATATTAAATTGTTTCGTTTTTTTAGTAATAAGTAGTTTATAATATTATTATATATATTACCAAATTTATTTAAAAGTTAAATAACAAAATTCCCATGTATTTTATTCCACGGAAAAAAAAATTGGTGCCTTTTGGTTGGCACTAGTTCTTTTTTTCCTTCATTTTTTTTTTCAAATCTGTAATTTGACTAAAATATGTTTTAATCTCTAATGTTTAGGTATTTTTTTAATTTAGTATATTGTTTTAAAATTTTCAATTTAATTCTTAATTTGTTGATAATAATCTTGCATAGATATCTTGTGAATTTGTGGAAATTGATTGAAATTGAGAGGAATGGAAAGAGACAAAAGCTAAAAAAGTCTACAAATTTCTTAGGAATTTGGATAAAAAATTATGAACTTTTATCTTTTAGATAATATTTTTCCTCATCTAACTTTTCACGACTTCACAACATGCATCATCGTGCCACGTAAGTTTACCATTGACTAATTTTAATATTTCAAATAATGAGACACTAAACTGAAAAATGTTAAAACGTAAAAGACTAAATTAAAATTCTTGAAACAATAGAGAATAAATTTATTAGTTTTTTAAACAACATAGACTAAATTAAAGAAACACAAGAATGCGATAAACTCTATCTGGTAAATCACCTATTGATCAAAAAGTCGTGAGGTCGTGAGTTCGAATCTGTGCCCCATAATGTACTAAACAAACATATATTAACAATATTTTTTAAATACGTTACAATGACTTGTAGTTTTGGTTCATTTTAATTAGCGCTCATCCTTTTTATAATTTAGTCAAGGTTAAAAGTTCGAATCTTCATCCCTCCTGCACGTCGGTGTACAGAAGAACAAACAAAAACTAACCATCAAATTTTTTATTTTTTTTACTACGACTAGTTAGTAACACGTGCGATGCACGTGGAATTTATCATTTTATTACTATTCACTTATAACAATTTTGTAATTCAAATACAAAACTATTTTTATTCCCGCGTCTTTAAATTTCTTTAATTTTCTCGCACTCTTTCTATCTCCAACCTCTAACATATGTAGTACTTAAATTTTGTATAATTTTGCAAATTAATTTTTGAAATGTACTAATCTATAAATAGATTTTCTTATTTAATATAACTTTTTTAGAAACGTGCTTGAAAAAAAATGGAAAGAGAGATTAAATTGTAGTAAGCACATAGTGGCACTTTTTTTTTTGTGGATTTTTGTTTGGTTCTTCTTCTCCCATTTTCTCTCAACTTTCTTTTCCTTTGATTTTTTTTTTTAATTTCTTCCTTTTTGAAATGGGACATTTTAAAAATTAATTATATGATGATGAGGATAATTATATTTACTAGAATATAAATGGTTTATGATTATCTTTCACTGCATTTAATAATATGTACGGATGGAAATTCGAACTCACAATCTGTTGGTTGTAGATATATGTCAATTACCATTGAACTATGCTCGCTTTTGCAACTAATCGTCAAATTTTATAGACTAAAATAAAATATGTGATTTTAAGTTAATGAAATATTATCAAAATTTCGCTTTGACAACTAATCCTCAAATTTTATAGACTAAAATAAAATATATGATTTTAAGTTAATGAAATATTATCAGAGCTCAGGGATTACATTAGATAATTTAAAATAGAAAGACATAAATAACAACTTATACGAATATGTAATCTAAAGAACTGAAAAAGAAAGAAAAAAAAATAAAGAAAATACGAGAGTTTTTTAACTCGCTATCTTCAGAAGAGACATCTTCGTATCAGTCTCCACAGTAGTGGATAGCAAATTATTTTGGGAGAGAGCCGTAGGTGTTAGAAAGTAACAATTACATGAATTTCTTCAGATTGAACCAGCTTTTTTCTTCTGCGTTTAGATCATCTCTGATTCATAAACCCACCTCCAAATCCACCATTGATCTTTCAATTTTGGAGTTTCGTTTGAACCAATGCCACGATATCAAGCAATTCAACCAAATTCTCTCGCAGATGCTTCTAACTGGGTTCATAAGAGACACTTATGCCGCAAGCAGATTAATCAAATTCTCAACGGATTTCCCCTTCATTCACATCGATTACACCCGCCGAATCTTCAACTGCGTTGAGAATACCAATTGCTTCATGTGGAATGTCATGATGAGAACATATATTCAAAGAAACTCGCCTCATTTTTCTTTGGGTCTTTATAAACTGATGTTGTCGAAGTATGTGGGTCCTGATAATTACACGTACCCGATTATTGTTCAGGCTTGTTCTATCCGACAGTCGGAATTTGAAGGAAAACAGGTACATAATCATATTTTGAAGTTGGGTTTTGATTCAGACGTTTATGTTCAAAATACTTTGATTAATTTATTTTCTGTTTGCTCGAATATGACTGATGCACGGCGGATGTTTGATGAAAGTTCTGTTTTGGATTCGGTGTCATGGAATTCGATATTGGCGGGGTATGTCCAAATAGGAAGCGTGGAGGAAGCTAAGTATATATACGATCAAATGCCAGAGAGGAGTATAATTGCTTCGAATTCTATGATTGTTTTGTTTGGCAGCAAAGGGCGAGTGATTGATGCGCGTAAATTGTTTGATGAAATGCCAGAGAAAGATATGGTTACATGGAGTGCACTAATTGCTTGCTATGAGCAGAATGAGATGTTGGAGGAGGCTATGAGAACATTCGTTGGAATGCATAAAATTGGAGTTATGGTGGATGAGGTTGTAGCAGTTAGTGCTCTTTCTGCTTGTGCAAACTTACTGATTGTCAATATGGGGAAATTGATTCACAGCTTAGCTTGGAGAATTGGAATTGAATCTTATATTAACCTTCAAAATGCTTTAATCCATATGTATTCGAAATGTGGGGATATAATGGAGGCACGGAGACTGTTTGATGAAGCCTACTTGCTAGACCAAATATCTTGGAACTCAATGATCTCTGGGTATTTGAAATGTGGTTCAGTTGAAGATGCTAAAGCCTTATTTGATACCATGCCCAGGAAGGATATTGTGTCTTGGAGTTCTATATTATCGGGTTATGCACAACATGACCTTTTTTATGAGACTCTCACACTCTTTCAAGAAATGCAGATGAACGGTCTTAAGCCAGATGAGACCATGCTAGTAAGTGTAATATCAGCATGTGCTCGCTTGACTGCCCTCGAGCAGGGGAAGTGGATCCATGCTTATATAAAAAAGAACAGTCTAACTGTCAATGCCATTCTTGGTACGACCCTCGTTGACATGTATATGAAGTGTGGATGTGTTGAAAGTGCCTTGGAGGTTTTCCATGGGATGGTTGAGAAAGGTGTTTCGACTTGGAATACTCTAATTCTTGGGTTGGCCATGAATGGATTGGTAGAAAGCTCACTTGATATGTTTTCTAACATGAAGAAATGTCATGTAGCACCTAATGAGATAACCTTTGTGGGAGTACTTGGTGCATGTCGACACATGGGTTTAGTAGACGAGGGACGGCATCATTTTCATTCAATGATTCATGATCATAAGATAAAACCCAACATTAAGCATTATGGATGCATGGTTGATCTTCTAGGACGTGCAGGTAAGCTTCAAGAAGCTGAGGAAATCCTGAACCATATGCCTATGGAACCGGATGTTGCTACTTGGGGGGCCTTGCTTGGGGCTTGTAAGAAACATGGTGATAGTGAAATGGGAAGAAGGGTGGGGAGGAAGTTGATTGAGCTTCAACCTGACCATGACGGGTTCCACGTGTTGTTATCCAACATATATGCTTCCAGAGGTAAGTGGGATGATGTTCTTGAGATTAGGGGCATGATGACAAAACATGGGGTTTTGAAGACTCCTGGGTGTAGCATGATTGAAGCAAATGGAGTTGTTCATGAATTTTTGGCAGGAGACAAATTGCACCCTGACATGGATGCAATTGAGGACATGCTAGGTCAAATGGCTATGAAATTGAAGTTGGAAGGTTATACACCAGACACAAATGAAGTTTTACTTGATGTTGATGAAGAGGAGAAGGAAAGCACTTTGTTTAGACATAGTGAAAAGTTAGCCATTGCATTTGGGCTTATTAATATTAATCCACCAACACCAATCAGAATAATGAAAAACTTAAGAATATGTAACGACTGTCACACTGCTGCAAAATTAATCTCCAAGGCTTTTGGTCGTCAAATTGTGTTGAGAGATCGACATCGTTTTCATCACTTTGAGCATGGGTTTTGTTCATGCAAGGATTACTGGTAGCTGATGAGGATTCATGATGCTTAAACAACTTCATTCTCAAAGATTATTCTGGCTGGCAACACATCTGCTGATTTTCATCACAGCTGGTGATCTATTCTACTATTTGAGGTCATGCAATCTACAATTCACAATGATAGTTTATATACATTTGGGAAATTTGTTGCAAAATTTGTTTGGTGAGCATTTCTTCAGGGGGAATCAAGAGTTTCCACCTCTCTAAGCCCATATGTGGACATCAAGGCAATAATGAAGTGCCTCAAATTGCCCAAGGTTCATTTCGGGCCAAATGCTGCTGCATGGCCCAAATCTTGGCACGGTGCTTTTAAGTCGTAATTTTTCACTTAAAGGGAAATATCAGTCCAGGAGCAGATGATAATGATCACCTTCAGGTAAGCCTCTACCACATTTATAATAAGTATGAGAGCTTGTAGATTCATAAAAGGAAATACCAGTCCACAAATAACATCCCACCCTAGTGCCTTACTTGTTTTGTTCTTTAAGAATTCTTCCGCACTGGCTTCATAGTTCAAACATTGTTTGAACTGGGATTAGTTCCCCCCACATTAACTTTTGTTATTGGGCTAGCCATACAGCTATTTCTAGCCTTTCGAGATATATGACACACATCCTTCATTGTAACTTAAAATTGACCTTTTGTTTTAAAAATATTGAACAACATACACCATTTATTGTAATAGTTTTTGAATTCCCAACTTTCAATCTATACCTTAGTCAAAGTAAATAATTAATCTAATTTGCTCTTCTTGGGTTCAGATTGAAAGATGATGGATCTCATCTTCCTTTACTTTGCATCAAACACCTTTGAGGCTACTCAAGAGTAACTTGGGTTGTTTCTTTTCAATACCATCAGTTAGTGTTTTCTGTATTGAACTTTGTTTAATTTTGTGATATTCGAGCACTGGTTTGAGCAATAACAATTTATTGTTGCCTTAAATTTGTAGTTGCCAAAGAAAACAGCAACCGATTTGAGCTACGTCGTCAATGTGATCTCACTATAAGCACAGCGAAAAGGTTAAATATAGCCTAGCTATATGAACCTGGTTTTTTTAATACACAGAAAACTTAGAACCTAGTTTCTGAGTGTTCTGATTACGGCATATTTGTTACCTATTTATGATCACAAAAACAAGTTTAGATAGCTGAACAGATTGAACTATGCATTCTTGCAGTTTATGGAAGGCCAGGGAAAGCAACTAATGATTAAAGCGGACGGAGCAAATTTGAAGTGGTTTAAGATATCTTGGTAAGCAATATCAAAAATCATTGATGTCTCTCGAGTCCAGATCATGGGCGGACGCAGGTGGCCCTAGATATAGGGGAGCAAAGCTCCGACTCCCGGTTATCAAAGGCAAAAAAAACATATCTCAGTAAGCATTATGCATTTTGTGAACTACTTTACTCACTTTCTTGATACTGCTGTGTGTATGCGTGTGTGTAGAACTTGGTTTGTTACTGTTAGCGGAAATAAAACCGTCCGATTTTATTTGTTTTCAATAGCTATATTATGAAAAAATTTCGATGAAGTCGAGTTTTGTGAAAGTGCACACTCTAAATCAGAGCAAGTTCAAAATTATATTGTAGTTCTAATCACTCTTCCCATCTAAGACAAATAAATGGAAAGAAAAAAAACCATTCAGTAGACTCTGACCACTAGCTTCCTCAATGGTTGTCATGTTGTATTTCTTTAGTTCTTGAGAAGCAAAAATTCAATCAAGTAAAGCACAACTGTAATGTGTATTATAGCATTCTTCTTGAGTCTTAATCATTGTTCAATATGCATCAATTTGCTTATGTAGGTAGCTATAAGGAGGGTGGGTACTCAGATGCCAATGGAACAAGTCTAATATGTTCTCGATATCGCCACTAAATCATAAAGCATAACTGCAATGTGCATTTTGAGCGGATAATGTGCATTTTGATTAATCTCATGGGATAAGTACCTGAGAGCTGAATAGTTCAGAGAGTGATTCAATCATTGTTTACTTTTGACTCTCTTTTTATGTTCGGTTGCATTTTTGTGATTAAAGGAATTTGGTTTTGGTAATAGTTTTTTCGTTGTAACGCTTTTTTAGCATTGTAGATTAAGAATTTCCTACGTTAAAGGTTGGAAAGATGGTTGTATTTCTCACAATTCAAACACTCTAAAATAGACGCCACCGTATAATTTCACTTATTTATTTAGTTAAAGACAAATTTGAATTCACTCTTACCCGTTATACTATAATTAAAAGACAAAGAGACGAAGATTCAAGAAAAAAGTGTTAAAGAAAAAACCACAGAAACAGGGAGTGAGAATACTGTCATGTCCTAATAATCAAAATCAGGACCAATCAGAAGTAAAATTACAAGTTATTCTCGGCTGATCTGCCAATGAAATCAATTGCCGATTCTCCATCACCTTGTAACTCATAATGGAAAGGCAACCATTGATGATCAACAATGATAGAATCTCCAAAAATCAGATCATCGTTTGCTTCCATAAAACCAATCATTCCGTTTGTAACTTCAATCTTCGAACCTAAATCATCCGTAAACAGTCGCAACTGATGTTTCAATAAACACTCAAGTCGCTCCTCCTATTTAGGTTCTCTTACGGAATGTTGCAATGCGAGATTTGTGAGCCGAAATCAGTTTGAGACTCGAATTTCCTCGGCCTATTTTTGCAAATTCGGCGGAATCGTTGATTCGAATTATGGAAAAATTCAAGAATCATCAACGGAGGGCAGCATTAAATGTTTTTGACGTGCAAGAACTGAGAGAGTTGATTCGACGTCCTTTCGTTCCGTTGAGACTTGTGCTCAAATTTATCCGGGAAGAACTCCAGCTCTCCCAATATTTTTCTCTCCGAATTATTTTTTAATTTTTAATTTTTACTGTTTGATTGATTATTATTTATTATAATGAATCTTTTAAGAATTATTTTCTTTGAAAAATATATGTTGCCACGAATCTTTATCCTCTTATTCTTTCTTTCGAATTCGAGATGTGATGTGAAGATATGAACTTTTATACTGTGAATACAGTTTCTATAGGTTTAGTGGACCATTGGACTTAATAATTTTTGGTCAAATCCAATTCTTTAAATGAATTTAAATTTAAATATTAATCCACTTGGTTTTATGGTAATTTGGATTTTGGGCCAAGTCTGCGAACCAAATTGATTCCAAGTTCAGTTCTCTGACTCAATTACATATTTTAATTGTCAATTTATCTTTAGTTTCCACGTCCACCCATGTTTAGGTTGGCCTCATTTTAGTTATTTCTAATATAATAGACGTGAGATATGAAAAATTAAACTTATAATCTCGAGAAAAAAATATATGTAATTTAAGATTGAGCGATATTTATGTTGGAGAATGTATCCCTTGAGTTAATTGTAACCAAAAATGCATTTTTACTTCTATAAAGAAAAATGTAATGCATTTTCAGTTGAAGTTATTATGGCAATATTTTCGTAGTTCTTTGAAAAAAAACCTTATATATTTGATTAGTTAAAGACAAGTCAATTTAGACGCTTATAATGTTATTCTATTCAACACTTTTTAATAGTAGCTATGTATCTTGTTCGGCGAATGAATTGCATTAGTGTGATTTGGTTAGTTGAATCGCCCGGCGAACAAATTGTCTCTTTACTATCTTAAAGAAAAAAGCGACCCCTCATATTTTATCGTTCTTGACCTCTATTCACACTTACACATCATATGTTTGTGTGGATAGCTGCTGAGAGGGGTGTCCTAGGCGTAGAGGAATCACACCAATCCATCCCGAACTCGGTGGTTAAACTTATTATTTGAGACGGGAATTCAACCTTACTCGGAATTGTCCCTAACAAAATTTTAATTATTCTAATATCACTTAAATTTGTATTTATAAATTATTATTCATCCAATATAGACTACATCACTTATCATCATTGTAGATAATAATGCTTCTGAATTTACCTTAGCCACTAAGAGACTACCAGCAGACGTGGCGTTTTGTTAGTGCCACTTTTGATTAAATTCAAATTTGTTTTTAAAAAATCACGACATATCATCTCTTAACAAGATGCGTCCACTTTGTATGGTTGTCTTTTCAAAAGATGACCCCAATGAATTTTTTTTAAAACCCAACCTTTTATGACTACGTCACACAAAATTATCTACTTATGCTTTGCCATGACACTTCCATCCATCGTTGCCCATCTTCGTCATAGTTGTGGACCACCAACTTAGTTTGTAAGGACCAAAGTATGTTTTATTGGTTGCTATGATCAAATACAAGTATTAATTATTATTAAGCTAAACTTATGTTTGCATATTTTTTAATCATTTTAATTGTCGAATAGTGAGATATTTAGTTATAGCATTCTAAATTAGTGTAGTTTATTTTTAATTAGTTTATTTTATTACTCTAGCTATATTGAATTAACAACTTAATTCATGTTTATTTATATTTTAGGATCTAAATGTTTGAAAATTCTATTCTATATGAATTGATGTATTATTGATGGTCTAAATTGAGTTGAGTACGATTGACAACCATGTAGAGGTTTTAATATTTACAGTTTACAATGGTATTAAATTTTAATATCTATATCTATAGTATATATAAAAGGCGGAGAAACTTTTTTTTGCCGTTTTTACCCTTCATTTCTTATACTTTTGAATATGAAGTTGGAGGCAAATTGGTCATTTTACATGCAACTATTGAATTTCTTATAATTATTATGAATAAATGTTTATTTGATATGCCTCATTTTGCCTCTTTTATTTTCCGTTGATTTTCTTTGATACTTTTGGTAAGAAGTTAATGTTTTTTTTAACTTCAAGTAAGATCGTGTTTAATATGCTAATAATAATTGATTGCGGTTACAAATGGATGCGTGGAAGTTGAAAGGGTAAATTAATTGCACATAATTATAAATTTAAACATACGACATATTGTCCTTCCCGGATCCTTTCATCTTCCTCTATACTTCCCTTTGGTTCTATACTTCTTCTATATAAATATTTGTCCTCTCTTTTCTCATGACAACAAAAGAATCAAGAGATTGTGGATGAAACAGAAGGAAAATATTTTCAGTTCGTGTGAAAGTATGGCGATTATTTTCTTTCTTTGGCAAGGACAACTACAATGTACGTATAGATGATCGAGAGAAGAATTGATAGTGAAGAGAGATGTACTAAAGAAATTAATCCTCAATCACATCAAGGTGGGATGAGTCGATGGTAACAGTTAGCTTTTTCGAAATTTATCATTGTTCAAATTGAAACAAATTGTAGATTGCATTGTGTTGAGATGTCAATACAATAGAAAAAATTGTTCTCATGGTTGGATAATTGGGATAATTATGAGTTTTATTTTTATTTATTTATTTTTAGAAAGTAAAACTTTTGATTTATGTGTTATGCTAAGAAATATTTGTACAGAATTATAGCAAAAAAATAAATTTGTTATCCCCACCAACTTTATCAAATTGAACTAGAGAGAGTTTTTTTTAGGGTTTCCTTCTCCTCATTATTGCCTTTATTTTTCCCGGGCGAATAAATAAATTTAGGAATTTAGCGTTAAAAATTAACAAACTTAAAATATAATATAATGATAATAATTAAGGAAAAGAAATAGCAAATTAAGAACATTATAGGTTGGTAATATAAAATGTGATCAAGAGCTTTTGAGAAAAAAGAAAAATGCACAAAATAGAACTTTTACGTTAACTTTATCATTCTATTTAAAAAAATTTCACTATTATTAGGACAATTTTGATTTCTAAATACAAATATCTCTCTCATCTAGATGTGTCTCTCTCATTCAGGTTCCTCCAATTAATACACACCCTCTATATTATTTTGTCAATTATTTTTTTTCTCAAATTAATTTTTTCATTAATTATTGAATCATCAAAAGAACTATTAATTATTGAGTAAAAATAAAGAGTTAAGATAATATTAAAAATTAAGATAGGATAGGTCAAGTTTTGTCTCTTTGTTTCTATAATATTAATTGTAAAAATTATAGTTGTTTTTAATTATAATTAATAATAAAATTTCACATAATTAAAATGTGTAAAGTTTTATTTCTATAAATTAATTAAAAAAAAGTTGATGTTTCGGAAAAAAAACATTAAAAAAAGTTATGACTTATTTATAATTATAATTAATAAGTTGAAAAGTTGAAAAGTTTGGTAACTCTTTCTCCTACAATTATATAAACAATTGTTATTTTTTTATTATTTCTCTAATATTTTGTCAGCCAAAACTTGAGTTTTTCTTTTTTTCATTCGAATGTTTCCTTATGTCTTGATTTTTTTTTTCATATTTTAGTTAGATTGTTTGAACCTTCAATTTTTAATTTTTCTTTTAATTATAATGCAACGTGAATAATTGTTACTTTTTATAGAAGATT